GTCTCCCCCCGTTGCAATGACATTCTGCATGAAGCACCAATGTCGGGCAGCATGAGGCCAGTGCCAATGATTCAGGCCTGCTTGGAGCAGATTGACACGAGTGCCTTCAAGAACTGACCGAACTGCTCTCTCGGCTTGGGCGTTGGACTTAGATATATAGTCCCTACTTAAGATGTGACGGCACTGAAGGATTTTCATTGCTGAAATTAATTCAGGTGCATTGTCACTGTAGAAGACTCCTATCTTATCTTCATGTCCAACAAAATGTTTGATCGCTAAGATCGCAGCATTGGTGGTTCGTCTGGCATTGGGGTAGACATACATAAATCCTGTGGCTATGTCCTTCACGACGAGTGCACTTTTCTCATCATCGATTCCCAACTCGTCTTCATCTCTGGTGACAATAAAATCAGCGGTGATGTGGTCACCAAATTTCTCAGCTTTAACTTTGGTTGATCCGCCTACGGCCCTTGAGGGTGGCTTGAACATCTTAGCCCTAGTGCATATGTCACAAAAAGGGTTCTTAGGGATGTGAGTCAGCATATGTCGAACGGACTTGGCTTCTTCTTTTAACTCTTTTTCCCCTAGTGACCTTTTGTGAGCACCATCATCATGGACATTACTACTGCTACCCTTAGATCCTTCCAAAGGCGGCTCAACCTCCCGGTCGGCATCAGGGACATCAACCTCCTCAGCTTCCAATGGCTGGGGCTCCGGTAAATCGACATTGATACCCATGGGGTCATCACCAATGATTTCAATGTCCCCATCGGGCTCCGGAGATTGTTGAGCTTCATCTGATGCCGGGGTGGCAATGCTTGGTCTAGGCTGAGTTGATGGAGTGGAAATCGTCTTTGAATTATTTGCAAAGTAGGGTACATAATCTCTGACAACTAACTCAATGCGTTCCCCATTTGGTTTGACCATGTACGGAGGTTCACCTTTGGAGCCTCTCCATATGAAGTCGTAACCATCATCAATGCATCTCATCCCGACCGAAATCACAGGAGGTGAGCTTCGAACAAGATAGGGGTCAATGGTCTTGCCTAACTTAGGAACAAATACTTTTCCTTGTTTCGATGACGAACTTTCTCCATTGGCAGTGATCATGCGAATGGGGTTGTTGGAGTAGTATCCATAGTCGTCCGGCAATTCACTATCATTGACAAGATCTTGGGCACTCCCCGTATCTGCAATCCAGTCAAGTTCGAGGTTGATCGCTCCCTTCACATCTTCTCTACATTCCGCAGGGGTGGCTTTGATTCCCTTTGGGATACATTCATTGCAACCAAAGTCTGTGTCACATAAATAGGCACATTTGCATTCTATTCCCCGAAGACAATTGGAAACTGATCCTGCCAACATGGTACCGGTCAAAGCGGCATCATTCACAGCAAGTTGATCAACTTCAAACTGGTGTCCCCATGGAAAGGTAACCTTATCCTTGGTGGCTGCGTTTCCAATTGGCCTCAAGTTCCCTCGGACTTTAACATGAGATACGTCTGGCGAATCATCAAAACGAATCGATGGACAAAATACTCTTGGTTGAGGGATACAAAATGCCTGAGACACGGATGCAAGCATGGATGCAACAAGACAAACTGCGGCAGGGGACGGCTTAGATGAACTGGCCCCGGATCCTTTAGACTTCGGGGATTTCGGGCTCTTGGGGCTCTTAGAGCGGCTAGAGCTTCGGGATCCCTTCCTTTTCGGGTTCTTGGGATTCTTCTTTTTATTTTTGTTTTCGCTACTGGCCGAACGGGCAGGAGTAGCTTGTCTTGGTTTTCCCACTGAACCCTCATGAAGGAATTTGCAATCAGCTCCTCTATCGCAACGTCCCTGTTTCCAAAACTTGCAAATCTTCTTACCTTTCCCCTTTGGTTTGGGAAAACCAGAGCGTTCACTTGAGCGACCTCTGGTTTTGCTGGGCTTACGACTTCTATCACGTGGCTTGGGGACTTCATGCTTATAAGTACAGTTGTCCTTACTACAGCCTCCCTTGTTCCATGCCACACAATACCCCTTGGGAATAAAACCTGTCTTGCCCTCGACTGCAGGAGCGGAGGGACGACCGGCACCCGAAAGACCTTTGGCAACTCGATCACGATTTGCCTCCAACCTCTCACGGTCAAGGTGGCGTCGCACGGCAGAAACAAGAAAACTGTAGTTCCGTTTTTCGGTTCCTTCATCAGCTCTATGATACTCATTCATGTCATGTTGGATGGCCTTACAATTCTTCACTTGTTTGTAGAAGAGTGTTTCCAATACACTTTCGTCAGGAGCTTGGACAATACCAGCCAACACTTGATCCCAGTTCGAAATGAAAGACTTCAAATTCTCCCCACGCAATTGGACACTGAACAAATCCTGGAGGGCATAGGTTGCTCCGTGCTTGATGTTTGTACTGAAGTGGTCATGCAACATGAACAACACTTGTCTCCCTCTTACAATCCGTCCAGCGGTGGCTTCAGTCTCCTTGAAGGTGTCTACCTTGCGGGCGAGGTCACCAGTGATGATATTGGTGAGTGCAGAAAGTAACTTTGCATCTAATGTCGCAAACGGCGCAACCTTCCGGAGCGCTTCAAGGGTCTGTTCTTCTTTCCAAGAATCACTAATCCACTTGAAAGCACTGTCGGGATCGGTCGATGCTGCTACAACTGCTTCTCTAGTCTTGATTCTCCAATTGCGATAGGTTTCTGCCAACGGGAATGCTGGGATCTTGATGGTGTCAGCTTCCTTGACCTTGGGTTTGTTATCATGCCTTGGGTCAATGTAGCCACCTAAAAACTTGATCATTCTTCGCCTGAATTTTTCATCATCCTCATCATCGGGATCATCATCACCGTCACCATCGCCATCGGGAGGATTGGGACCAGCCTTTCCTTTTCTGGGTGCCTTACGGTTTCTATCCCCTTCAGGTTTATCAATTGGATCAGGTGGTGATGGTGGTCCACCTCCTCCATTTCCCCCGTTGTCGTCTCCTCCATCCCCGGGGTCGTCCCCATCAGGCGCGTCATCGCCCCCGGGCTCGAAGTAGTCCATCTCATCTGGGCCTATTTCGGTCGGGGCATATTGATTAGTCGGTGCTGGGGAATTGACATTGTCCATGGGATGGTTATCTCGGCGACGATTATTGGCCTCTCCTCCCGAAGGGCGTTCCTCAGCGGAAGACCTTGCAACATCCGACTCCTTCTTCACTTGAACTGGGACTCGATATGATGGGTCATGATAAATGATTTCAATACCATCCTTTTCATAAGTCTTGGCATCAGGTGAAGTAAAGTTGATCGGCGTTCTTGCAATTGGAGGTCGGGCTACATTGGTCGGAGGTGCTGCGGGTGCAGCCTTTCTGGTTGGTGGAACAAACTCGAAATTTGGGATCTGCGTTGATTCATGGGTTCCGGCTGTCATGGTCATGGCGGCAGTTTCGACAATAGGGCTTGGACGAACCTGAGCAAAGTGGGAATCGAGCATACTTTGCAGTTTCAGATTATGTTGCATCTGGGCTTGTACCATGTGTTCAAGCTGTGTGATACGCTCATTTTGAATCCTTCTCTCTTCCTCAGCTGCTCTCTTCAACTCAAGGATTTCTTGCTCCTTACTTGATAGTGATTGTCGATGGTTAGCATCAATAACACGTTGATAGGCTTGAATTTTCTCATTCATCTGAGCTTCACGGAACCTTACGTGTTCGTGCGCCTCATGCTGTAAATTCTCTTTATATTGAGCACTCACATTCAAAAGTTCTTGTTCTTTGATTCTGATAGCATCAAGGGCCCTCTGACTTTCAATACCCTCGCGGACTCGCAAAGCTTCCTTCAACTCCTCAGTCTTGGCCGTGTGGATCGCTTCAGCCTGAGCTTCGGTGTGAGCCAACACCTCACGATGACGGAGCTCGGCCGCTGTTTCCACAAGGCTTGTCATGGCAGGATCATGTGAATGGACATGCAAATTCTGCTCGACAAAATTCACTTGAGGATTATCCATATGCACATTGTGGTGAAATGTGTTGTGAACATTCATTTGGTTCAATTGGCGAGTCGGCGGCCCACTCTCCCGAGCGGCTTGGGGAACATATCCACGATGGTTAAAACCGGCATGAGAAGGCACAACTGCGTTACTCAAATGCGGTAAGTGGCGTCTGTCCCTCAAACTACGCGATTTGTCGGAACCAGTGGGTGTGCTTATGTCAATGGAGAATGTGGTGTCTGAAATAGGCAAGGCTCCCGGATTTGCCATGGCTGCGTCAGAGGAAACGGGAATACCGGGGCCCTCAGGGGAAGTACCTGAGGGGGCAGACATGCCTACGGAAGAGAAGTTAGCTTACGGCTGATAACCTGTTTTACAGGCTAACACGCCACAAACGAACAGCAATACGCGCTTGTTTTCTTGAGCCATAACATAACGTAGGTAAATGAATTAATACAGTATGTACAGGGGTATTCATATTAAACATTTTCAGGCCTTACATCCTAAATTTAAGGGATTATACCAGCAAAATATGGCCAAAAATATGGTACTAACGTACCTCCATTTAGGATCCTGAAATTCCTATTGAATTGACAGTTCGCATCCACTAATTGGACATAGCTATGGGCAATGGTCCATAGATGACTTGTCAATGAATCTGGTATCCACATCCAAAAATCTGCCCGGGACATATCGTGGCCCAAAACGCAAAATCAATTTTGCACATTGAATCCCTTCATCATTCTCTCTTAAAATTAATGTGTGCTTGTTTCATCCCGTCACCACAATGTTGAATACCTCCCAAACCATAGTCTTGTTTCTTGCATTGGATCTCTTCAGGAATTTAGGGCCCAGTTTTAGGTGGTATTTAATATGTTTTAATATGATCTGCGGAAAATATAATTTTTCATTTCCCCCAACAATCATGTTTTTCACCATATCCCAGTGTATATCCAGCCCAAAAATCACCATTTTCGATGATGATTTTTTTCTGAAATCCCCAACCCCAACCATGGCACAAAAACCGGCGCCTCTCGTTCCAAGAGGCTTGTGACCTTTGCAGTTTCCGTCTTCACCTCGTTCCGAACAAACACCGAGGGATTTTTGCGGGTGACACGATGAGGGGATCAGCTGTCGATTTTCTGGTGAATTAATGTCAACCCTGGGTGAAGATAAACCATGGTTTAATAGTGGTTAATAGTGGTTAATAGAGGTTAATAAACCATGGTTTATTAGGGGGTACTCCTCCAATAGTCATTTCATCTCATACTTTTTTTTGGTAGCCTCGCAATTCAGCAGCCGTAAACGGGGTTTATGAATCCCGGGTTGACTTTTTTCACTTGATTCAATGTGGCGTTTTGTTGATGCCAGTTTTGCTGGCTGTAAGATATATACCATTTGATTTCCATTGATGGATGATTTTCTTATATGATGGATGATTTTCTTATACATGTTCTCAGTTTAAAAAAACATGAATTATGAAATTTAGCAATGTCCACAAAAATATTTTTTGGAGAATTACGCAGCTAGCCATGCTAGCTAAGCGAACGGAGGGTGGATTTTTTGTGGTATGCCCAATCACAAACCAGCGCAGGAACCAACCCTTACAAAGGTGGCTGATATCAAAGGGTTGGGGAGTCAACCCTTCTAAAATCGATCCGGCTCCGTTGCTTCCGGCGGATCTCCCAGCTATTCAGGTGGTGCTTCCGGTTTTTTTGTTCGAACTTCGGACGGTAAAAACAGCTGAAGTGCCGAGTTTGCTCATTCACCGGTGTACCATGACCTGACTCTTTTTGACCCCCCCAGTTGTCGCCATTTCAGAAAGATGATGATTCACAAGGAGTACCCTCTGGTAATTTGTTACATAGCTATTGAAAATGGCAATAGTGAGTTTTCCCGTTGTATAATAGCATGGTGGATCTTTCCATAGTTTTTGTATGTTTACCAGAGGGTAACCAATGGATACTTGATGGCTCATCCCACGAATCGTAAGTGGGTTATAACATGTTATAACCCCAATTATAAGTGGATTAACCCTACTTATCCCATTTATAACTAGGGTTATAACCCACTTTAACTCGCCGTGGGTAGTTCGCCACGGCTCGTAGGAATCCTTGGTTGTTCCGGCCAGGTGGCCAAGTTGAGATTCATGGCTGTGACCAGTTTTCCCAGGTCCGGCATATAACTGGGCAGCTTGGTGGTCATGTGCCCCATCCTTGGCGCGTCGCCGAAAAAGTCGATGGAGACAAAGGCAAAATCCATGAACATCATCGGAAAATCATCGGAAACGATGGGAAAACTCTGGAAAAACACAAGAAATGAAGGTTTGTGAAGAGTACCATCGAATTATTTATCGGATGTTCTTGGGGGATTTTAACAAACCAACTGGATTGGGGCATGATTCTGGAGGATCCGATCAAAGCAACAAAGTTTCAGAGTTACGACCAATCGGGCCCCATTACGACGCCAATCCGCCAGCTTGTGGTGAAATGGATCAAATTTTGGGCCTTGATTTCCCCTGGAATGAAACCAATTTGATCCAATTTGCCACGAAATCGGATCGATAAGAATTGCAGCGACCAAAAGTTCATCAACAGAAAGTCCATCAACCAAAATTGGATTGATTAACAAACATGCAAGAAAAATGGGGAACCAAGTAGATTGTTCCTTTGCGAGCTACACGGCTTCTGTGCTGCTGTGCGTCATCATGGGAGACTCAATGATCACTTCGCGCTCCAAAACGTTGCATCTTAGCCACTTCAAGTACTCCTCAAGTGGGCGACTTGAGCATGCGCCCTGCTGAAAAACCCAACAGCAGGACGTAGAGCCGATTGACTTTTTGACAGGGGTATATACAATAAATGCGAAGAAAAATGGAATGTTCTAATATTCCACCCAAAATTTCAGCATATTTCAGTCATCCGATCCTCTTCCAAAATCATCTCTTTGGGGTTCCATGTCGCTTTTCTTCAAATATTGGTGCCAGCAATAGGCCAATAGACCATCCCAGTAGGCAATCGTGAAAGAAATTCATGACCCAAACAAGAATGACCCAAACAAGAATGTCATTCAAAGTATGATTAGGTGTAATTATTTCATATTATTTCTATGACTTTCTAGGTATGCTATGGTATACTAGGAAACCTTATCCCAGTCCCAGGGCTTTTTCAAATTGGCCAATGACACGACTGCACATGGATGGGATGTCGCACATCTCATGGTTCATCAGTTTCCCTGCTTAATTGCCATAAATTGGTGGTATCCCAATTTTCAACACCCAACAACAAAAAATAACTCTCAAGTTGGGGTAAAAAAAATAATTCTCCCCATGATGTTTCCATAATTTCCTCATGAAATAGCAACAAACCACAAGATAGAGCATATCAAATTGTCCCTCGATAATCGTAGATCCCCATTATCCCCTTATATATAGATCATTTTCCCATTATAGATCCTTATCCCATCCTATATGCTCCATGTATGGATTATTTACCAACATTTGCCATAAAAATCACCCAGTAATGTAGGTAAATATTCCAGCACCATGGAGCATATCGGAATTATAAATCATCATTATCCCATTATAAATCATCATTATCCCATTATAAATCATCATTGTCCGATTCTATACAGATCATTATCCCATTATAAATCATCATTACTCAACATTCTCCCGTTATGTCATCATACCAGGCGTCGGTAGGCTCCATCGCTTCCGCTGACAAGGAGCCTAAGGATGGAAAACCTGTGGAACCCTATGGAAACCTATGGAAACCAGGAAAATATGAGACAAACAGTGACAAACATGATCTATATAACATCCTGGAAACAGTGTCCTGTCTTTTCTTGGACTACTGCAGTAATAGCTGATAGGTTAATAGTGTTTTCATCAAAGCAAACAAGTTGGGTGATTCTTATTTGTTATCACCGTTGACAACAAGTTTCCATTGGTTTTATAGGTTGAATTACCACTACTAAACCTCAATTTCACCAGAAATGGATGATATAAACCCGAACTGGAGATTTCTTATTGGGTTTATCGCAATTTCTCTTCACGGTGGCATCAACCTCGGTCCTCTCCCTGAACAAAACCATGATACTTTGCTTCCCGTTTGTCACCCAAAAGGGCCTAAGTTTTCCCCGGATGCAACGGAGAATACTCCAAATGGTAAAAAGATGTAGTAACAATGGTGGGTTATCATTATGTTTAAGTGAAAGTGGTGTAACATGGTGTAACTCACTAAAAGTCACTAAAAACCTATAGAACTCACCATTACCATTTTCAGGAAGGTCGCTTCTGTGAAGTTGGAATTCCACGAATATGTCAAGAATAAAGAGTTGGGTCGCTTCCGGACATGGAATCCCCCAGGTTTCACCAGAAGGCAGTTGTCGATGTTCATTCCCTCTATGGATAAATATGGTATAATAGGTGTTAGTTCATTAGCAAAAATACGGTGTAATTATAAAAAATGGTAACAACATGTAACAATACGTTACATAGCCACCCCAAGATCAATGAGATCTTCGCCACTCATAGGCCTTTATTTATGAGAAAGTAACAGCCCATATTTTTTTCGGACAACGATGCCGTTGCAGATCCAAAGATCTGTTCATGAAGGCGGTCGAAAGCTCTTCAAGGGAATCTTCCTCACATTTTTTTGTGGGGGATCAATGGGTCATGACTGATGTCCCCATTGAACATCACCCAAACATTAGGTATATGGTCTACTAGATGGCTACTATAAGGTGATGTCCAATATTCCCAAAATGGGACAGTTACCAACCCCTGCTGGTTGTGGGGGGTCAATGGATGTTCATCAGTATTAATCCCATTTGTTTGTGATGTGCAGATGTTCAGAACTTAGTTATTTAGATGTGAATCCTCACTTTTTTTTTGGGGGGGGGGGCTGTGGGAAAATGTCGACACCATTTACAATCAACAATAATTTGCACTTTGGGAATGGGTGCAAAAAAAGGGGTCCACACCCCCCCCTATTCGCATCAAAATAGCTGGGATGTGTGGATGTTCATCACTATTGATCCCGTTTGTTTTGATGTGTAGATGTTCAGACTTTGGTTGTTTTGACTAGAACTTTCAGTTACTTAGATTTTTCAGAATATTAGTTACTGTTTTCTTAGTTGCTTTAGTTACTGTTAGTTACTTAGATACTGATCTTTTACCTGTGTCGTTACGTTCTTAGCCACTTGCTAGGATCGAAACAGACCAACTTCAAGCCACTTTTCTAAGACATACTGTGGATGGGCCAGCGAAATCCTGCATCAGTTGATGGTTGATCCCATTACCCTCTGGTTAACTAACATGGCTACTGAAAATGGCCATAGACATAGTGGATTTACCCATGAAAAATGGTGATTTTCCATCGTTTTTTGTATGTTTACCAGAGGGTATTTCTAGGGTTTCAACTATCCGGTCCGGTCGGTGGTGCAGGATTTCGCTGGCCCATCCACAGTAGAGCATTGTCCCAAACCCTCTGCGATAAGAACGGCATTTTTCTGTAATGGCTCATGACTATGGATGGGAATGGGGGAATGGGATGATTATTACTAGTGATTATGGATCATTCCCTCATTCCCTACTAAGCACCAGTAAGATGATGACCCTCAACTATCCAAGTAGTATCACCCTCTATTTTAATCAAGAGGGGGGGTGGTCTCTGAGCTAGTCTCGTTGGTTTGATCGTACCCTGTGCTTGGCAAAAACAAACAGTATTCACCATGATTGTGCAATTATTAACCAACTGTCAACAATTAATAATTAACTGCGTTTGTGTGTGTAATATTGGTTAATGGTAAATAACGGTGAATTATTGTGGATCTAACTGTAGCCATTATTAAGTAATGATCAAGCATTATTAACATGTGGTCAAAACATCATCAATCATCCCAACAATGGCTGGTGAAATCAGAAAAATAATAGGCCACTTCTATCATGTGGTTGGGACACCATTGTCAATCATCAACCATCATTTATTGTCATTAACTTCTTGATGATTGTTGTCCCACCATTGTCGGCTGATGTTCCATTAGATCACCATCAATTTCCATAAGATACCATCATGTTCCCATGAAATACAATTCTATAAATATGACATAGTTATTAACAGATTTGTTCATAATTATCAATATAACATAATATAACATAGTTCAATAATTATCCATGATTAACCCCATTGAATTCCATTCACATCCATTCATGAAATACCAAGGATCGCTGCAGAGAAATCCACTCCTTTGCCGCATCCCTTCAATGAGCTGCTGCACCGTCTCTGCCACCGCGTCCATGGTTGGAAAACCCAGAAAAAACCAGGGGCTGGAAGTGGACATTTTCTAGGTTTTATCTGTTGTTTTTCCCATTTCCGGAAAAATATTGGGTGGAGCTTGCTTTTTCCGGGGTTCAGAAGATTTTTGGTAAAATCCGCAGTGTTCCTGGAGATTCTCGCAAGATTTTCCTACTTGTTCCATCCTTTTTTGGAAGCCAGGCCCCGCAAAAGAAAATGACTTTGCGATGTCCTGAGTTTTCTTTGCAGTTTGTTGCTCGTCGCAAATTCTCCAGTCTTCAACCGGGGACAACAATGTGCAACTCGTCTTTCAGGTCTTTCATCTACACAGCTGGAGTCTGAATTCTTGCCGGACCACACAGATTCATTGTTACCTTGGGCAAACTCCGAAGGGTTTCCATCGTACATGTTTTCTTGTTTACAACTACAATGTGGAACCTCATATTCCATAACTTTCAAAATGTATCAAAATGTCTGTTCATTGGGGCCCAAGATAGTCTTTCTGCTTTAACCCATCCCCACTACCGAGTCCAGTGCGTGCGCTCGATGCCAAGATATAGTCATAGTGTAGACAAACAACGCCATGTGCACCCCAGATTGACTTGAGGGTGCAGTCAGATTAGTCCTAGTCAACAGGGGATATTGTTGCTTATATACTTGTCTAGCATTGCAACACCTGCAGTACTGATTGATGCTTTCACCACACCACACTTTTACCATCAGTATCCATCAGTATCCATCAATCATATCAACAAAAGAACCTGACATAAATCCAAATTTTCCCGTAAATAACTTTTAAATTCACCCTTCAAAACATGTCCCAATAGTCCCTTAAAATCATCACCAACAAAATATCCCACTGATCATCCTCCGAAGTGCCCGAGTCACCCAAGTCGTGTCCACATTCCCTCCTTTTCCGACACGCTGTCGCAAAGCTGAGGGCTCACAACCTCTCCCGACAGCCCCAAGAAATAAGAGGTTTAGTGGGGAAAGTGATGATTCACCATCAAATTTCGGGGTTTCAGTCCCAAACTGTTACTGATTTGGGGTAACTTCGGGGGTTGGCCACAAATGCGAAGATAGAAATCAATCACCTGTCACCTATCATTCAATCTGCTGACATCTTTGACATTGCCCAAAACGGCCTAAAAGAAACAACAAATCTGCTACAGCTACAATGGTTTACACATGCACATACACATACACATACACACTCACATACACATACACGTACATGTACACATACACGTACACATACACATACACGTACACATACACATACACACACGTACACATACACATACACGTACAGATACACATACACATGTATATACATACAGGTATATACATACAGATACACATGATACACATGATACATGTATATAAATATACATATCATCCATATGCATATGAACAGTACTCTGGATAGCACAAATCTCCTGGACCGAGGAACGGAATTGAAAAGAGAGGGGGGGTGCGGGGGTGCCGTTTTGTGAAAAACGGCTACATATTCCAAATCAACCCATGCGACACCCATATACATCCCATGCCAATGCTATGGTGGGATCTGAAACAAATTAATGAAATGATATGTGCATTTTTTTGGTACAAAATGCCCTCAACTTTTTTGAGTCGGTTCATAACTTCCAGTCTGCTCTCCCTCCATCAAACTATAGTACTATAGAATCATTTTATATATATATATATATCTACCACAAACATCCATAAACCATAGTTAGCCTATGTTAACCTATGTTCACCAGTATAGTTCGCCAGAGCTGTAGAAAAACCCTGCGAAGTCTCGCCGCTCCCGTTCGCCTTCTCCAGGTGAATTCATGGGATGAAAAGCATGGGAAACATGGTAGTTTTGAGGAAAACCCTCTGGTTATGACTAACATAGCGAACTGGAAAATGCCCCATAGAAATAGATGATGTACCTATGAAAAGTCATGATTTTCCATGGCTATGTTAAATAACCAAAGGGTATTTTGATGGGATTTACCATGTCAAACGTGGCTGGAAAAGCCCAAAAAAAACATTGAGGTTTCTAGTTGGGAAAACAAATAGAAATGGGGCATTGTCGATTGACACGTTTGATTACGCGGAGGGTAGTTATGATTATAGCTGTGTACATGGTTTCAATTATGGCAGAAGATTGAAACATATTAAAACCAAAACGAGAATCAAAATGATCTACACCTGGCAGCTACTAGTTATTACATCTCCTTGACCGATTCATGACTATGCAAGGGGTTAAGAGCCACAAAGAAATATCTATGGAAACACCAAGGTCACCACAACCAGTGGAAAAGATGGACTTATAAAGGGGTCTGAAACACAGTTTTCCAGTCAAGCACAGACCGCTGGCGGTGGTTTCATACCTCAAGAACCGGGCTATATCCCCAGCATCAGGACTCCAATATACCCCAGCTTCTTTGAACGAGAAGTTGGAACGAATCAACCTTGAAAAAAAAGGATCTTTCATGTGATACTTGGGCTAGTGCCAGTATCATCTATGCATCTCCCTGCACTCAGCGTGAAGAGCCACCAGCCATCTGGCCAAACAGGTTGCACCAATCATCATCTATCTTGGCCAATCCCAAATCGCAATGTGTTCAACCAGGTCGCTGTAAAGCACGGGCCGTTCGAAGGCCATGAACTCGCACCAGCACCAGCACCTCCGCGTCCGCGCCGTCACTTAACCATTGAAATGGTCACTTACTAGGCCCAAAATAGTCACTTTGAACTGCCAGGAACTCGAAAACTCAAAACTGTTTGTTTCAGAAACCTTTTTGGTTGGAACTCCAAAATCATCGATGATTCGTGACTCCCCGTCCTGGAGCTTGCCCATCTGCTTCTCGATGACCTGAGGCCAGTGCAGCTGGGCCATGGTAAAACCCCAATGACCCCATGGTAAATTAGTATAATTGGGCCATGTATAAATTGACATAAAATTAGTACGTACTAATCGTATTGCAGAAGAAACCATGATGATGATCATGGAGTCATGATGATAATAGTTAATAGTGACAATGGATGTATTGTCTTTGCCTGTTGTCACAGCCACGAACAAGTGTTATGGGATCGCCTACACCAGTGAAATTCAACACGGAAGCGAAACGTAAGGTCTGGAAGATGATTTTCCTATTGGACATGGCCATGATTGGATTAGGGGGTGTAAATTTTCTGCTATCAAATGATTTGGGATCTACGAATAATTAGGGGGTAGTATCCCAAAATGATCCGCCCACACATGAATTCACAACCACTCCAAGACCTGATTGTTTCGGCCAACTATATACTATATCGTACCAGTGTAATACTAGTTAACATTATCAACCCCAATGTGCGTGAGTGTATGAAACAATGCTTAATAGTGAAAACCACAATTCAAGTATGTATTGCTTTGGGTGACAATTCAAATCCATACAAATCAATATAGTCAACATAAATCCATATAAACCAATACAATTCCATATGCTTCGTGATTTTAAGTCCACCCAAACTGGATCATTTGGCCTGCTGCAGATAAATCTCCACGTTGGCCACGGAATCGTGCATGATTTCCTGGCAACCACACAATTTCAGGGGGCCAATTATTGGATGGTGATAATATATGTATGTAATATGTATATATATATATATACACATTTGTGAATGTTATATATTGGAGGTTTTTTATACAGGATGCATATGAACACACTTTTGGTTAATTTAAAGCAGGTTCGCAACGCTCAATTTTTGTTTAGCCATTCTCTTTCCCGGTGGGTTCGAACCTTAAGACCCAAGATTCTTGAAGGGCCAAAACTTGGTTTGTTTGAAATCCAAGAGAAAACGTATAATATGTATATCAATGTGTATCTAAGGATCACTGATGTCAAACGAATTCCCTATGGAAAAAAAAATCTATGTATGCATACATTAGTATACATTAGTTCTATTAGATTTTGAATGTTTCGGAAAGAAAGGATGGATCTCATGTTTGGTGGGTATGCACTCTGCCCTAATGAATATTATGTGTATATATGTAACCACATTGTGGAATGATTCAAACTATCCACAATTCATCCGATAAATTACAAACTTACATATGAGAAGAATATAAGATAATATAGTTGATATTATTTAGTACATAGTTATATGTATATATATATATACACAAACATATGTTTCCATATAAATGGCAAGAATACATATAAATGGCAAGAATACATAGAACTCGTCGCCCGCAGCAATGGGAAATATACCTGCAGCCTCCCGCCTGCACTGTGTCATTCCCGCCGCAATTACGTAAATACATATACGCATGTTTACATATCTACGATGTTATATGCCAATATTTATTGGGAAGTTTGTTGGACATATCCCAGTATTATCAAGTTCTCAGTCAACCATTCTCATTTCCATATACTTGGGGATTGCCTCCACGGGCTCAAAATAGAAACATTCCGCCCAAAAAAAAGAAATTTCTGGTGGATCTAAAAGGGGAAAATTAAACATCACTTTAAACAAACCCCAAGAGCTGCTTGATGAGGTCCTGGCGCAAATGGTGGAGCTGAAATGTTCCGACTGGTGAATCCACCATTTGGGCAGGGAATCGAAAAATGTATCACATTGCCATTTGAAAGAAATAAGAAAAGGTCGTTTATGGCGTTTATGGCGTTTATGGCGTTTATGGCATTAGGTTTACTACCCTCTGGCAAAACTACATTAGATTTGACAGGTTCACCACGCAATTCCGTCCGCCTTCTTCTCTTCAGTAAGCACTTCTATCGCCTGGCCACAATGTGGACAGTTACCCCTCCAAGACAAAAATCAACGAACCAGCCCAAAAACGACCTAACATACAAAAACACGTGCTCAGACGAAGTACCCAGCCCCACTCTATGTTTCAATTCCTGACTATACCCAATCCGCTGCCTTCTCCAGCCGAAGGTTCTTCAGGATCTGCGGAGCCGGCGATTAGGGATGGATTTACTGGTGGTTGAATGGTGGTATTTAAATGGGTTTTAATAGGTTTTAATAGGTTCAATGGGTTTAATATCTCTATATGTATATCTGTATTATATATATATATATACACACACAGTATTTGGATTCTATGGAAAATGGTAGTTAAATGATTGTTAAATATCAACTAAATGGGGATGGGTCAACAAAACCTTGCACCCCTTCGGACGTTCACATCAAAATAGTTGGTTCTTATGGATGTTCATCCCCCTAACAAAGGATATGTATGGGCATTGATCCATAGCCATCCCTGAAAATGGGTTGTATACCACCATTTTATGTAATGGCGGTGCTTGTATAGCCTCAATGTTCACCATCAAATTCTGGGTTGAATGGGGCATATGGGGAACATTGAGCTTCTCAAATGTTCTAGGCCACCAAACTTTGGGTTACCCCATTTTCAGACAAAGCTGAATCATGGCTCCTAGATGCACTCCCGGCCTTGGTCACTGCGCTGAGGCAAATGCCAAAAAAGAAACTGCAAGTTGCTGACTGTACCCCCATCTGAATTGCAAAAAGATGCCAACGGTTGCCCCAGTAATGGTTGAATATGGCAGAATCGTTCAATGAAAAGATCCCATTCTTCATGACTTTAGCCTGTTGAAAATTGAAAATGCATACCAGAAACAAAGATGTCTAAAAGATGTCTAAGAGCAGGGTCAGCCAACACCGCTTTTCTTATCAATGAAATGACATATCGCCAGAAAAGCATTGCAAGAAATATCGAAGACAGACAAGCAAACACAGATCGCGATGTGAGAAATACATGAACAAATAGCAGGACATGAACCCTTCCGCCTCTTTGCCCAGCGCTTGACATTGGTCATTCTTCAGCTCCTCAAAGGTGCTGAGCTGCAAGGTACACTACTGGGTAACCTACAAACCTAAGAACTGTTTCCAAGTGACAGGGGGGCACCCAAATCAGAATTCAACCCTCCAAAGTTGCAAAACCACCCTTCTTCACATGCAGCAGGCCATATAGACGAAAGCTATCGGGTCCTCCATTTCGCGAGATCGTGTCCTTTGCCTGACAGATCTAAGGTAACCAACCAAACTTCGGGGTGATTGTCGTGGCCCCTCATTTGGTTTGTTGTTTGGATTGAATTTTGCAGATTCAAAGTGATGTGATGTGCAAGGATGTGCAATACTTCAGTGTATGTTGTAAGTATGATGATCTGTCGTGGTCCATTTTGTTCACGAGTTTCAGGTTGAATGTTGCTGAAGTACCAAACTAATGCAGTCGCCGATTTTGTTTGTGCACCCCCAATGGGTTTCAGCATTTGAAAACCTGACAATTTGGCAAACATTCCAAAACCTGGTAGCAGTGTTTCGACCTTGAGCCTTGAGGATTGGGACATGGTCAAGTTTAGGTTTTGCTTTTGATGGTTTTTGCGGACCCAAGCCTCCAGCGAGAGAACCCGGTCCTGGAATGCAAGGTACAGTGAAACCACTGTTGAAGAACCTACTGCAATAAGAACTTCAGGGGCTGAAGTGCTGGATTCAACCCTCCTGTCAGCTAATTGAAATCAGAACTCTAGGGTATCCTGGAATTCTAGCCACTGGTTCTTGTTCCCCTTTAACGGGTATCAATATACCAAACCTTGATTACTGATATACGTATATTCTTGCGGTGCTCCAACCCCTGGCATGGTGGAAATTGTGGCCTTTAGCTCTGTTTGGAATGCCTGCACCTGAAAAAAACTTCTTGAGGCCTAATAGTTTTTCCAACCAAGTCTTTACTGAACTTAATTCCATGTCAAAATAAAATTTCAAGCCCTGGCAGGGTGGAATATCAGGCCCTTAGCTCTGTCGTGGAGAGCTGTCTCTGGAGGCACTGTTGCCGCACAATTGTAAATTTGGAAATTACTTAGAATTTGCAAAACCCTCACCATATGAGCCCCTTAGAACTAACCCGTTCAGAACTTGAGGGTACCTTCGCTCATAATTTGGGGACCCGGGATGATTATTAAATTATATGATAATTCCGCACAGCACAATTCCCAAGTTTTGGACAATCCCTGATGCACCATTTTGGATTTCCATAGGTTCATCGCCGTTGCATAAACACATGGTAATTATACATGATCCCACGTTTATAGATGCATGTGTTTTTCCCACTAAAAAAAAACAAAAACAAAAACTATCATTTATTATATGGTTTTCAAAGGCCATTTTTGATTGCCAAAGGGTATACTCAATACTTGGTTATATCCAATAGGAATCCACGATGAAACGTGGCGACCTCTTCCATTATTTTTCTGAACTCACCATGTGTTGTTCTTTTCCAGAAGCAATGGTGAGATATGCCCATATTCAAGGTTCTGTTTAAGGCAATTTGTTTTTATTTTCCCAGGAAATCTACCAACCCATGGGGAATCCATCGTTGTTTTTTTCATTTTCTGGGCTCCGGATCCGCAAATCCAAGTACACTGGGGTCCAGTCGTCATGCAGTGAGACCTTGTTGCCAAATTCATTTTTGATGATATGGGGTTTGTCTGAAGATAGGCTGCCCCCCAAAACCTAATGGTTTATTGTCATTTTCTCTATGACATGGGGGTTTCCTATGAAGGTACCCAATAGCTGGATGGTTTGTTTCATGGAAAATCCTATCTAAAAATTGATGATGACTGGGGGTACCCCCATGACTTAGGAAACCTCCAAATAGCATTTTTGACCACCTCCAAGGCGGTTTTTCTGTAAAGAAACAACCAAAGATCACAGAAAAGCAATACTCCTGAAACCACGGAAAAAAGAAACCCACTATATAAAAAGAAACAAAAACATTCAGACTCATTAAAACTCTATTTTTAAATTAGAAAAACACCACTAAACAGCTTGATTTTACCATTAAAAAACGTGGCTTTTCCATGAAAACTCCGAACATCCGCCTCATGGGCAGACTTGTGAACGTACAGGGACTCTGCATCCACCTGCAACATCTGGCCGCTCTGGCAATTTGTGTAGAACCCGAAAAATAAAAAAACATCTATAATCAATCATGTATTTTGGTACAGTTATAATCAATTATGTACCAAGCAACATCAGTTGCACCAATCATGTACCAAGCATGGAAAATATCTGCAATTTCTAGCGGGGTGGTTTCCAGCCAGAGGCCACAGATTTTTTTGGTTCCATTGGAAGCATCCAATGTATGGATAATGGGAAAATATTGACCATGTTCAATAGCCATGTTAGTTTACCAGAGGGTAGTGATGGGAGAACAATAACAACAATATTTTCTGCGTGTTCCCGGGAAATCTCTAGGGAATCTATATATATATATATAGGGAAGATGTTTTATTTTTGGGGGGGGGTCCGGATCAGCAAATCCACAGCTTAAATGGCTCAGAGTTTATAAACGGAGCTGACGTTACTCCTGAAAGTTGCAAGTTTACAGCAAAGCACCAAGGTGCTTGGCATTTTTTGATATACTTGTTCGGTATCAACAAACCGAACATCATGATTCACACATTTTATCAAAGCCTAAACCACATATTAATCAAAAGTTAAGGATTTAAAATGGGGTTTCAATCCATGAGCAAACAATCAAGATGGGGATGTAGGCAAATTACAATGCCTTCACTTTCTGACCTCATAATAAGATTTGTGTGTTAATGCCGCTTAGCGAGTTCTCACAATAGTTGTTTCATGATTTTTGGGTATTTTTGGATATTTCGCTAGTTCATTCATTTGACATTTGCATGGTCTTTTGTTGGTACCGGGCTCAACAAAGGTGCAGTTTCACATAGTTTGAGTGGTGAGATAACCATAACCTCACGTCGTGACCGAAGCCTGGAATGATGGTAAGTACTGTAAGTAACTATATGAACTTTAAAACATATTATGGGGATATCTTGGCTATTTTGGATGATAATGTGAACTATATGGGATATTACAGTATATTGAGATATCTTCCGTTCTGATGAGGGGGCCGTAGAGCACCTCATGGATGTGTTTGTTTAATGGGTAAGAAACAATGGATTTGTTTCAGGGGAAATCGCGAGAAAACCATGGGTTTTGGTCCCAAAGATTGGGATTTCTTGCGGATTTGTCCTCCAATTCATAGGGCTCATGGTGTGCAAAAGTCTGTCACTGCTGCTGCGCAACGAATCTTGGGGTTAAGCAACAGCTTATGGGGCTTGAACAACAGTAGAGATGATCTCCAAATATTTCCCACCTGTCAACCATAACTTACCATAACTTGCCAACACATTTTTTTTCTTGAAGCCACGTGGCGTCCTTTTGCCCATTTCCAGGCCAAACTTAGATTATCCTATAGGAATCCTTCACCTTAATTGGTTGATGAAGAAGCCGATAAATGCAATCCATGTAAATAGCCCAAATGCTCCATGTATGTAATATTTACCAACATGTACCCTAAAAATCACCCAGTTTTGTAGGTAAATATACCAGCACCATGGAGCATATGGGTAGAGAGAAATCCCAATGTTCTTCGAAAACCCCCGACTTTTTATGGGAAAACCAATGTCTCTGCGTCTCCCGGCCGCTGGAGCGCTCTGTTGGCCATTGCTGCTTTCGGTGGCAACCTGGTCAGAAAGGCACTCGGAAAAGATCGAGAAAGACTGGGGGGATATGTTCACCATCAAATGGGGATACCGTGATAATCAACAGTAATTCATAATTGGTGGCAATATCAACTTACCACAATTCAACCATGCATAAACAATTGCAACTCAACTTAAGACAACTTGACTTACCATAGCTTAACCGTCAAACAAGTCAGTGGAGTTATTTTGACAAGCAAAACTGAAGCTTTAACCGACCCTATACCGACCCTGTGGATCCAGTCTTACCGTACCTGATTTTTAGTATGGGGGGTACGATGACTAGGAGATGACTGTACCTTCCAGAAGGGAGTATGGCTGGATCCATAGGGAATAAGAATATGTTGATAATCACAGATTGGGGATATGTTGACAATTGAAATTGAGGCGATTTGATCATATTTGATATCAGGGGACTTTTGTTGACCAACTGGGGATTTAACATGGAAATTCGATGTCATCAATCAAATGATCGACATCGATTTTTGATGATTTTTGTTGACCAACATTGACCAACTGGGGATCATGGGATTTGATCATATTTGATCAAAAATTAACCCAGAAACTCTACCAGGTTTATCCCCGAATCTCTACTATAATGAGAAAATATTAGAGATTCGGCGATAAACCTGGTAGATTTGACATGGGATTGGTTGGCCAATCGAGATACAATGCAGACACAATAGGGTAAAAAAGGGGATATAACCCGACCTGTTGTTGTTTTAATGAGAAAACATACGATAGGCGATTAGATTTTGAGGCACTCCGTTTTCGACAAACCCATTTACCAAGGGGTCAGCTGACTGGTTTGTTTTCAGGGATTGGTAGCCCCATTATGACCCAATGTGTATTCCTTAGTTGCCCTCGCCAATCCCACTTACACCTGAAGCCCTGGCGGTGGCGGCACGTGCTGAGGGCCTGCAAGCATGCAGAAGAAAAAAATCCCATGCGCCTAGCATCTCAGACACTAGCTACTGTACTTATTGCAACTTTGTGCATGACCTAACTTCTTATCAAAAGACATTCAAAGCCCTCGCTATTGGTGTTATCCAGATTTGCTGCAATCACAAAGACTGTTCTGCAACAGTTCGTGGATCAATCCTTGATTCAAGAAAGTGCTCATCATGCAAGCTGGCGATGGGAACCCGGACCGAGGACCATAGTCCTGCCTATACGGATCGCTCCAACGGCTAAAATATGCTGAAATAGACCAAGCTTCATCATCTTTCTTATTGGGAGATGAGAGATCAACATCTTTACCTGTTTGCTTTCATCATCGATATCCTAATGGGCGGAAAAACTTAGGGCATAAAGGCATAAACCGAGCTTTCTTTGGCATACAGAGTGACAGCACCTCTCACCAGGAGAAAAGCGGATAGGAAAGGAATGTGACATGGAGAGACATCCACCAGCTTCTTGACTAGATCCTGCTTAACAATCTACACATATGGTGGGCTTTGAGCTGTGGGAGTAGTGACATCCACTAACTACAAAAATCCATCCATGCCAAATCAAGACTGTTTGAGACTTCCAGTCTAAAAGACCATGTTTCCTTTGAACTGTCCAAATAACAGATCAAGTAATATTCTTGAACACACGAGAAGCAGGCCCAGTCCATGTTGAGCAATTAAAGGGTTCACTCCATTTAGAACAGCACCTATGAACCAACGGTATGTGAATGGTGTTGACGTTGTTGTGGGAAAGATCGGGAAAGAAACAAAACGTGTCTAACTGCACTAGCCGCTAGCTGCTATCGGATCAACAGTCATCACCCAACAGATCATGACCGAACTCTCCTCCGCCTTCAACTCCACTGGCTGTGGGGCCTCCGATCAACTCAAAACCAAAGAACTCTCTCGGAGTTCATCTGTTTTGCATTTGGAAACAATGGCCTGGCCACAATGTGGACAGTTACCACTCCAAGACAAAAATCAACGAACCAGTCCAAAAACGACCTAACATACAAAAACACGTGCTCAGACGAAGTACCCGGCCCCACTCTATGTTTCAATTCCTGACTATACCCAATCCGCTGCCTTCTCCAGCCGACGGTTTTTGAGGATCTGCGGAGCCGGCGATTAGGGATGGATTTAATGGTGGTTGAATGGTGGTATTTAAATGGGTTTTAATAGGTTTTAATAGGTTCAATGGGTTTAATATCTCTATATGTATATCTGTATTTTATATATATATACACACAGTATTTGGATTCTATGGAAAATGGTAGTTAAATGATTGTTAAATATCAACTAAATGGGGATGGGTCAACAAAACCTTGCACCCCTTCTGACGTTCACATCAAAATAGTTGGTTCTTATGGATGTTCATCCCCCTAACAAAGGATATGTATGGGCATTGATCCATAGCCATCCCTGAAAATGGGTTGTATACCACCATTTTATGTAATGGCGGTGCTTGTATAGCCTCAATGTTCACCATCAAATTCTGGGTTGAATGGGGCATATGGGGAACATTGAGCTTCTCAAATGTTCTAGGCCACCAAAATTTGGGTTACCCCATTTTCAGACAAAGCTGAATCATGGCTCCTAGATGCACTCCCGGCCTTGGTCACTGCGCTGAGGCAAATGCCAAAAAAGAAACTGCAAGTTGCTGACTGTATCCCCATCTGGATTGCAAAAAAATGCCAACGGTTGCCCCAGTAATGGTTGAATATGGCAGAATCGTTCAATGAAAAGATCCCATTCTTCATGACTTTAGCCTGTTGAAAATTGAAAATGCATACCAGAAACAAAGATGTCTAAAAGATGTCTAAAAGCAGGGTCGACCAACACCGCTTTTCTTATCAATGAAATAACATATCGCCAGAAAAGCATTGCAAGAAATATCGAAGACAGACAAGCAAACACACCCTTCCGCCTCTTTGCCCAGCGCTTGACATTGGTCATTCTTCAGCTCCTCAAAGGTGCTGAGCTGCAAGGTACACTACTGAGTAACCTACAAACCTAAGAACTGTTTCCAAGTGACAGGGGGGCACCCAAATCAGAATTCAACCCTCCAAAGTTGCAAAACCACCCTTCTTCACATGCAGCAGGCCATATAGACGGAAGCTATCGGGTCCTCCATTTCGCGAGATCGTGTGTGGTCCTTTGCCTGGCAGATCTAAGGTAACCAACCAAACTTCGGGGTGATTGTCGTGGCCCCTCATTTGGTTTGTGGTTTGGATTGAATTTTGCAGATTTAAAGTGATGTGATGTGCAAGGATGTGCAATACTTCAGTGTATGTTGTAAGTATGATGATCTGTCGTGGTCCATTTTGTTCACGAGTTTCAGGCTGAATGTTGCTGAAGTACCAAACTAATGCAGTCGCCGATTTTGTTTGTGCACCCCCAATGGGTTTCAGCATTTGAAAACCTGACAATTTGGCAAACATTCCAAAACCTAGTAGCAGTGTTTCGACCTTGGGCCTTGAGGATTGGGACATGGTCAAGTTTAGGTTTTGCTTTTGATGGTTTTTGCGGACCCAAGCCTCCAGCGAGAGAACCCGGTCCTGGAATGCAAGGTACAGTGAAACCACTGTTGAAGAACCTACTGCAATAAGAACTTCAGGGGCTGAAGTGCTGGATTCAACCCTTCTGTCAGCCAATTGAAATCAGAACTCTAGGGTATCCTGGAATTCTAGCCACCCAGTTTTGTAGGTAAATATACCAGCACCATGGAGCATATGGGTAGAGAGAAATCCCAATGTTCTTCGAAAACCCCCGACTTTTTATGGGAAAACCAATGTCTCTGCGTCTCCCGGCCGCTGGAGCGCTCTGTTGGCCATTGCTGCTTTCGGTGGCAACCTGGTCAGAAAGGCACTCGGAAAAGATCGAGAAAGACTGGGGGGATATGTTCACCATCAAATGGGGATACCGTGATAATCAACAGTAATTCATACTTGGTGGCAATATCAACTTACCACAATTCAACCATGCATAAACAATTGCAACTCAACTTAAGACAACTTGACTTACCAAGGGGGAGACAAGTGTAAACTCATGCGGCCCAAGGCACCCAGAGCTCGTGAGAGACAAGGGGGAGACAAGTGTAAACTCACGCGGCCCAAGGCACACAGAGTGGGAGACAAGGGGGAGACAAGTGTAAACTCATGCGGCCCAAGGCTCGTGAGAGACAAGGGGGAGACAAGTGTAAACTCACGCGGCCCAAGGCACCCAGAGTGGGAGACAAGTGGGAGACAAGTGTAAACCCATGCGGCCCAAGGCACCCAGAGTGGGAGACAAGGGGGAGACAAGTGTCGTGGGCCAAGAGACAAGGGGGAGACAAGTGTAAACTCATGCGGCCCAAGGCACCCAGAGTGGGAGACAAGTGGGAGACAAGTGTAAACTCATGCGGCGCAAGGCCCCAGAGTGAGAGACAAGGGGGAGACAAGTGTAAACTCATGCGGCCCAAGGCACCCAGAGTGGGAGACAAGGGGGAGACAAGTGTAAACTCATGAGGCCCAAGGCACCCAGAGTGGGAGACAAGGGGGAGACAAGTGTAAACTCATGCGGCCCAAGGCACCCAGAGTGGGATGCAAGCCCGGAGACAGAGGCAAAATCATGCGGCCCAGGGATGTTACCCTTTGAAAGGAGTAAGAACCCCATACAGTTAAGCCTGTTTGGGGAATAAAGTCAGTTGGGATGATGACATTCCCAACTGAATGGAAAAGTAAAATTCGTGTTCCAAACCACCAACCAGTTATTATAAAACGGTTCTGTTTCCAGCTTTGTAAATCAGTGTCACCCTCTGCCAGACTCTGCCGATGCTGCATGTGTCGCTCCTGCAATGTTTCCCAAATTGTCGTGAATGCCTTGAGAGCTGCCATTCTCCATCAGGAACTCCACCTGGCACCGAATTGCTTGAGGCCCAGGCCAATGTCAATAACTGGCATTCTTTTTGAAGATGATGTTGAAAACAAAAGAAACATTATACGGAAATATATATATATCTAATGTTTTGACCAACTTTTGCATTTTTTGGGGGTTGCTGCTATAGTTGCTGTGTATATATATAGCTATATATATATATATACATATACATATGTATAATATATATATATATGTGTGTGTGTATGTAATGTAATGTAAGGTTATGTTATGTTATGTAACGTAACGTAACGTAATGTAATGTAATGTATGGTATGTACTGTATGGTATGTATGGTATGTATGTAGTGTATGTAGTGTATGTAGTGTATGTAGTGTATGTAATGTATGTACTGTATGTAAGGTATGTAATGTATGTAATGTATGTAATGTATGTAATGTATGTAATGTATGTAATGTATGTAATGTATGTGATGTATGTAATGTTATGTAATGTTATGTAATGTATGCAATGTATGTGATGTATGTAATGTATGTAATGTATGTAATGTATGTAGTGTATGTGATGTATGTAATGTAATGTAATGTAAATGTAAATGTAATGTAATGTAATGTATGTGTGTGATGTATGTGATGTATGTGATGTATGTATGTATGTGATGTATGTTATGTATGTGATGTATGTGATGTATGTGATGTATGTGATGTATGTGATGTATGTGATGTATGTGATGTATGTTATGTATGTGATGTATGTGATGTATGTGATGTATGTGATTTATGTGATGTATGTGATGTATGTGATGTATGTAATGTATGCATGTATGCATGTATGCATGTATGTATGTATGCATGTATGCATGTATGCATGTATGCATGTATGCATGTATGTATGTATTTATGTATGCCTGTATGTCTGTATGTATGTATGTTTTGTAGGATGGATGGATGGATGTAATGATGTTATGTAATGTTATGTAATGTTATGCAATGTTATGTAATGTTATGTAATGTTATGTAATGTTATGTAATGTTTTATGTAATGTTTTATGTAATGTTTTATGTAATGTTATGTTTTATGTAACGTTATGTAATGTTATGTAATGTTATGTAATGTTATGTAATGTTATGTAATGTATGCAATGTATGTCATGTATGTATATGTATGTATATGTATGTATATGTATGTAATGTATGTAATGTATGTAATGTATGTAATGTATGTAATGTATGTAATGTATGTAATGTATGCATGGTATGTATGTATTGTATGTATTGTATGTATGGTATGTATGGTATGTATGGTATGTATGGTATGGTATGGTATGGTATGGTATGGTATGTATGTAATGTATGTATGTGTGTATGTATGTATGTATGTATGTATGTATGTATGTATGTATGTATGTATGTATGTATGTATGTATGTATCCATGTATCCATGTACCCATGTATCCATGTATCTATGTATCTATGTATCTATGTGTGAACAATTTGATCCTTGTTCCGGATGTTATCTCGATCAGGTAGTACCCTTGTTACCGGTAGCCGATGATTGCCATGCAGAGTCACGCGATGCAGCCCTTTTCTCCATACGCTTGAGCCAATGTATGGCGGTAATTGTCAGATTGTAGATGATACATGTTACACATGCACAACTACCTCGTTCCCTTTAACACCCCCCATGCCTCCGGTGACTTCGCACCGTAGGCACGAGAGTGGGAACTTTGAATTGTGTCCTTTGTTGTGCACGAATTACGCCTTTGTACACGCAAGTCCATTCAGCTTCCCCTTCACCCACACCCGACGAGCGTAGTGGATCCGGGGTTGCCTACTCTTTGGCATGCAATGCATCAGCGCAAGATCGAGCTGTACAACGCGAATTATCACTAGCTTGCAGCTACTCTACGATTACGGCTTCGCAAGTCACTCCATCGACGACGGAAGTAGACTGCTCCACCAAGAATAGCAATTGGCGCTAACTAGTGAATTCACGTGCACATTGCTAAAAAAGAAAATCGTGCAGATTGGGAATAGTGATAATCTTGGACCTAAGCGAATTAATCTACTGCCTCGCTCAGAGTCCACTCAGTTGATCTTTTCCTGATCATCTGTTCACAAAAACGATACACATCTTATAGTCCAGTGATCATTTGGATGGACAGAGGTGGTTGGCTTACTCCTCGCGGCGGACTTTCTTCCATTGGGGTGTATTCTGAGATTTCTCCCAACCTGCCGCGCGTTTCGGAGCAGCTTTCGGCGATGGAGGTTTCGCAGGTGGTGCTTTGGATGGTCCATAAGACTTCGGCATAGCCTTGGCCTTTGGTGCACTGGCCGATGAGGATGACGCTGAACCAGTACCTTCAGGTTTCTGTGAAGGCTGTGTTGATGATCTGGCTTTTGCGTCTGCAGTGGCACGCTTGGCGGCGGCACTGTCCCCGACTGCTTTGAATACCTCACTTACCACTTCGTCCCCCAGGTTCGGAGCCATCTTCATTTTCATTTCGGACTTTCCCCTCTGCACCTCGGCCTCAGCGAGTTGAATGGCGTAAGCCATCTTGCTGATGAAATTGCGAGGTAAAGGAATACCGCATTGTTGGGCAGCAAAGAGTAGTTCCACCCTTTGTTCCTTTTCTCTCAGACTCAGATATACCGAGAAAGCTGGGAGTTCAATGCAGTTGGGGAAGCCGTGGCTCCCGGAACGAAAGAAGGTGTATGATTCATATTCGGGAAAAGTTCCCTTCATCAGTCGTCGGAGAAAGTTGCTAATGGTCACCCTCATCTCTTGCTTTTCCTTTGCATCACCTTGCATCTTCGTCATTGGCATGAGGAAACCTAAGGGCTCGGGAGTGTACCCGGCACATACAAGAAACTCCATCATCTTTTCGTAAACCTCTAGAGTTTTGATGACAGGCATCATCATGTTTCTCGGCCGCCCAGAGTACATCTTTTCTCCCTCTGACCATGAGTTCTTCTTCCCTTTCTCTTGAAAGAGTTCGTCCAATTCCTGCTCAGTTGGTCGCTTGAGTTTGCCATCCTGATCTTCGCCTGTGTAAGGGCAGAAGTCGTCCAGGTCCAGCCGGACTCGCTTTGTGGCCGTCATCAACGCATAGTACTCCTCTGGGGTCAGAGTGACTCTCTGGTTGTAGTAGAGTCTGAACATTGCGATGATCTTTGACATCACGGCATTGTCATACAAGTGAGCCGCGGCCTCGGAGACATCATTGTTGACAAGTCCGTCTCCTGGCAAACCCTTGCCTCCAGGCACAAGATTCTTGGTCCATACTGGCAGGTTGGATGAAGGCTCATTCTCAGGTTCGACGTTCATGTCGTCATCGTCTTCCTCTTCAACGATCTCGTCGTCTTCCTGCTGAGTCTCTTCCTCCTGAGCCATTTCCTCGTCATCGCCTTCGTTGTAGTCGACCTCGTCAGGATTGAAGCCATAATCGTTGGATTCAGGTACGTTTTCTTGTGCTTGGTGGACCGTATCCTCGAACAACGATTCTTCCTGTCGGCGAACCTCCTCATCGAGCTCTTTCTTTGTGGCTTCATCTTCATCGTCTTCAGGAGCCTGTAGTCTATATGGTCGAATTCCACAGCTCTCAAGCTCTGTCCAGCAACCTAGACATACTGCCAACTTTGTCGGCGTCTCATTGAGGCAATGAGGGCAATGACGGCAACCTGAAGTTTCCACCCTCTTGCGCTCGACGATGTAGTCAATCAGCTTGATGCGGGCGAGGTATTGTTCTTGTCCGCCAGCTTCAATGAGATTGTTCCTGAATTGGTTGACGATGTTCATCGCATCCATGGTGATCTCGTCATACGGTTGCTTTTCGGCGTCGATGCATTGACTTGCGATCCTCAGAATGGACTCCTTGGTGGCGACAGTTCTTGACTTGACAGTGCCTGACCGGACTACCTGGTCGTCGCCCGACGGAACGAACAACCGGAGCCATGTCTTGTTGTTTTGATCCTTTGGATCTTGAATCCATCCTCCTTTGATCGCTGAGAACGGGATGATCTTTGGCGAAACGATCTGTCCCGAATCGGTCAATCGACCACCGTACTCCACCATCAAGGTCTCGGTCGGGATGAAGAGGCAGATGTAGTCCCCTTTTCGCGTATCAACGCTCTTCGTGATGGTCCATGATCTATGATCCCATGGCACATATGGATTGAAGAACGTGAACATACGATGACCTTCTCCAAGACCTCCCGGAATTAGTCCCTGCCTCCAAATGCTTCGGAGGTTGGTCTTCTTCGTGATGTGGAAGCAAACCGGCAGTGACATGATGGTATTGGGTGCGATCGGATGTGAAAGCAATGATGACAGCAACAAGACGTCATCTCTGGAGGATCCTTCCTTGTGCCCCGCTGGGGCGCGGACTGCAACTGGATAGAGCAATAGCCCCTCATCAGGAATAGGCGTGTCCGCGTTGACATTGTTGTCAATGCATGTCAAGCTCTTGCGATCAATATCCTTGTTGATCCCAAATGCCAAGACTTGTTCACGCACACGACGTCCATATCGGGCACAGTGGAACATGATCTTGAACAGCAATGTCATGCGATAGTTCGCCTCTTTGACATTCCATGCACTTTGATCGCTTGCTCTTCCTTTGGGGGCGAGGAAGACATGCGGCCGACGTTGGTACTCATGTCTCCAGATTGACTCACATTTGAGTACTTCCTCAATGGGTACCCAGCCGGCGTCGTCACAAAACAAGCTTTGTGACTCTGAGGCCTTCCCTACATTGTGTCGCAGGATCCTGTTCAGTGATGTGCTCACCTTGTCCTCATAGCTGTCGAGCCGATTGCCAGTTTCGAAGCGATAGTTTGCCGCATACTCCACACCTCCAAAGTAGAAGCAGTTGAAGAAGTGGGCTCCCGTCGTGGGGATGATTTTCAAGAAACCATCTCGCGGCGCTTCGATCCGTTTGTAGAAGGGTTTTCTGATGTTGTTGTCGGAGTAGTTTGCGAGGAACTCTGGTACTGACCAA